ACCAAGCCGGGCTTTAACAGCATGTGAGATGGGATATGCGCCTATTGAGAAAGAGCTACTGGCTGTTGTTTATGGGATGGAACGATTCCACTACTACACCTATGGTCGAAAGGTGGTAGTTAACTCTGACCACAAACCTCTGGAGTCAATTGTAAGGAAACCTCTACACATGGCACCAAAGAGACTGCAGCGAATGTTACTTCGGCTTCATTAATATGACGTAAATCTAAGGTATCTGAAAGGGACTGAGATGTTTTTAGCCGACACCTTGAGTAGAGCCTACCTTACCGAGGAAGCTCCGAGTGCCTTTACAGAGGAACTTACAAAGATCAATGCCACTAACTTTGGCTACCTAACTGCCTTGCATCTAGGAGATATTGCTGAACACTCCAAGAAAGACCCTGTACTCGTAGAACTGGAAAGAATGATTTGTAGCGGATGGCCAGTGAGGAGAGATGACGCAGAGCCATCACTAAGACCATACTTCAACTTTCGTAATGAACTCGCTGCACAACAGGGGGTTATTTACAGAGGAGAAAGAGTTGTCGTTCCCCTCAACCTGTGGAAAGACATGATTAAGCGAATACACTCGTCACACATCGGCATGGAGGGGTGCCTCAGGAGGGCCCGAGTCTCTCTGTACTGGCCTGGAATGGATGCTCAGGTAAAGGACTACATACAGTCCTGTGAAACATGCCTTTCCACTGGTTCCAAACAGCAAAAGGAAACAATGATACCTCACGAAGTCAAGGACCATCCTTGGTCTAAAGTTGGTCTTGATCTCTTCGACTTTAATCAACGAACATACCTAGTGACTGTTGATTATTACTCAAATTTCTCTGAGGTAGACTACCTCCAAGACACAACCTCAAGAGATGTCATCCATAAAGTAAAGGCACACTTTGCACGCTATGGCATACCAGACACAGTCATGTCGGACAACGGCCCCCAGTTTTCAGAGGAGTTAAAAAACTTCAGTAAGAGATGGGGCTTTAAACACATCACATCCTCTCCTAAACATCCGCAAAGTAATGGAATGTCAGAAAGTGCAGTGAAGACAGCTAAACGTCTAGTAAATCGTGCACTGTTCGCACATGAGGATGCTTATCTTTCCCTGCTCGACTTGAGGAATACACCTACACAGAGGATGACTACAAGCCCTGCTGAGAAGATACTAAACCGTCGGACAAAGACACTCTTGCCTACGTCTCAGAAGCTCTTGCAGCCAAAACTAAACATTCTGTACCCCAAGAAAGAAGTAAGATCAAAGATAAGCAAATAAAGTACTATAATGCTAAGGCCAAAGACCTTCCACCACTAACCACCGGACAGGCAGTGATGATAGAACCTGACAGCAAAAGGCAGCTGTGGTGCAAGGCAACAGTAGCTGGCCGGAGCGACAACAGACCCAGATCCTATGAAGTAGAAATTGAAACTGGGTGGGTACTGACCCGAGATCGCAGACACCTTAAGCTAACCCCGCGTAGCACACCTCAAGATGAAGAGGATGAACAAGGCTCACCAGATGCAGAAGGTGAACAGGAACATACACAGCCTACCAAAGGAGTTGTTTCTCCAGAAGGTCAGGACACCCCATATCTAACACGGTCAGGAAGGGCAAGCAAGAGACCCTCTTACCTTAAAGACTATGTGGTTTAGAATGAGAACATTTACGGTCATTCGTTTCTGTTGTTTTACAGGCTATAGGACAATAAGCTTGTTTAAAAAACAAACAAACAAACAAACAAAAAGGGGCATGTAACAATGTATGGTATTATTGGCAACCGCTGACAAGTTGGCCGGCTCGGAATACGTAGTTTGTACGTTCTACACGTTGGCTGACATTAAAGGTCGTTATATTCAATCTTGTTCAATCCTGAGCTTTCAAGGTCTATACAGTTAACAGTTGATGGAAGCCTGGACAAATGTGTTTGTTTGAGAGAGGGAGAAAAAGAGTTCAAGTGAGAGAGGTACGAGTCAAATTCAACGAGTGCAAAGGACTGGCGAGGAGGGTGGGGAGAGGGACTGGAACTTAAGTTTCACAATGAAATAGGATATCTTTCGAAAACCTCGAGGAACAATTCAAATTACTTGATTTACGATCGATTTTTATGAGCACGCTATCAAGCTTTGTTAAAAGAAGCTAAAAAGTGTTGCTTGAACGTGGGTTGGATTTCGCCAAAATGTGGTTTTGCATAACGGGAAACATTCATTTATTTATCTATTTGAAACGTTTTATATTTGCCTACGCTATTTTTAGATACACAAACGATTCTCAGATCATCCTTCTTTTCGAAGAATGCCTACAAGTAGGATAAATGACTCAATCGTAGCTCTGCCGCTAAGATCTAAACGAGATCGATTGAATCTCGTGATTTGGCAACGGGAAACCATCAGACGTAGAGAAAAGATGTTTTATGATATGAGTAGGATCAGATGTCCTTTTGTTTCATGTGTGTGGCTCTTCGTTCTCACTCAAATACTCGACATAGTGTTCCCAAAGAAATAAAAGGGCTTTCAGTTTTAACAAAACATTGCGAGACACTGAGTTAAACTTGAAGCTCGTGGTTGTCTTCCGGTAGGACATGGTCGTCGTTTGCATTCGGTGGTTGTCTTGTAAACTTGATATCCTTTGGCTAAACCCATCGCAATTAAACCATTGCTTAAGGCCGTTGCGATGGTTCTCGCTGAAGATAACACAATTGCAGCGATTTACTGCACTCTACGAATATTGTCGTCAAAAAGGTTAACTTTTTTAACGACTAACGTTTAAAATATTCCGATTTTTACGGTTAAAGTCTAAGTGTTTTGTTCGTTATCCGGCTTATGGTTAACCCCATTGAGACCATCCAATCAAAGGAAACAGAAGAGAACAAATGGGTATCGCAGCTCCCTTCGCAGTCGTAGCCTTAGGTGGTTTGCAAGTCATATTAAGCCTATTGTCAGTTAACTACCTGATCCCCCGTACAGCAACAGCTGTGGAGGCGTGATATGGACCCGCACGAAATTTGAATATCAAATTGGACATGTGAGACAAGCTGGAGGTGGAAAGAAAGATTATACCGGCGACAAATATGGTAAAGAGTGTCGCCTAAACTGCCAATCGGAATCGAAGCTGTCAGCTGCTGATATCACATGACACTAGACGGAGGGAAGGGAATCAGGCCCTGCAAGGAAAAACTATTTTTTTGCGCGAAGCTCAAGGAATACGTCAAATTAACTTGTGATTTTTATTAATGCACGTTAGGAAGGTCAGTTCTGAAAAAAAAAAGGTTCAGTTGTATTATATGTTGCTTGGATGTGGTTTGGATTCCGCAGAAATGTTATTTTTATTTATTCGTTTATTTGTTTGGAGGCTGTTTACATTTAAGTCTATAACTATACGCCTACACTTTTTTAAACATGCAAATAAATTCTCAGATCATCCCTACCAAATATGGCCTCAAATGCCTGTAGGATTAGTGACTTAATTGAAGCCCGGCCGCTGAGATCTGCACGATCCAATTTCATGATCTTGCAATAAGAAACCAATGGACGAAGAGAACAAATACATCTTGATATGAGCATTAAGTCCTTTTGGTTCATGCGGTTAAGAGCGTGGCACTTAGATCTTAACTAAACACTTCACAGTGTTCCCCATGAAATCAAAAGAATATCATTTTAAACATAACAATCAGTGTCAGACAACTGGGTTGATATTCAAAGGTTGAAGTGCATATCTAATGATATCCCGCCTATTTTCTTATTTTGACTGTAAAATTCATAAATAGTGCTCAAGTCTTTCTGCTGTACGAGATAATTTGTATGTTATTTGAGCGGATCTGAAGGGAGCTGTTTCGGTAGTAACTCGTCGTTGTTTGCATTTTGTAGGTGTCTTGCAAACTTGATGACTTGCGACTTAAGCCACCCCAATGAAAACATTGCTTAAGGCCGTTGCGGTACTTCCCACTAAAGATAAAACAAATGCAGGGATTTACTGCACTCCAAGAGTGCAGCAGAAGGACAGAAATAAATGGGATAATCGTCTGAAATGCACAGATGGGTGGCGATTCCTCCCCCTTCCACAGAAAAACTCGAAGAAATAAATAGATAAGGAGTGGAATCATGCAAAAAAAGAAAGAACTCATGATGGCCATTGCCAATATGACAATTTTCCTAAACTGTTGCTCACGGTGTTCCTGGCGGCAAGACAGTTTTTCTCTAGTCTTCTTGTTCTTTCTTCGTATTGTCCATGCGATGGTGCTATACGCAATGGCCAGGATACAAAATGGAATGACGATGATAGTGATAAAGGTTGCCTTCACAAATTTCCTGTGTGTTTTCAAATGGTCGAATGTCGGTCCCCAGTTCAAATAACAATACGTTTCATTTCCGTCACGGAATAGCCTGAAAAAGTACAAATAAGGCGCATGAACGACGATTGCGACAAGCCACGTGCCAAGAATGCTGATCAGTCGTACTTTTGAGGTGATAAGTTTGGCCTTCAGTGGAAATACGACAGCGAAGAGCCTATCTATTGATATTAATAGAAGGCTTCCGATGGAAACCACAAGAGAAACATCTGGGAGAAAGTAGGCAAGTTTGCATAGGATATTTCCCAGCACCCATGGACTGTCAACTTTCCAGGAACTCGATCTTGAAATGATCTCAACGATCTTTACGGTAATGATGGTCAAAGGGTTGAGGAGGTCAGAAACAGCCATGTTAAAAACGAAGTAGTTGATCGATCTT